TATTCATTTAATAAAGATATAAAGATCACTATTGAGTTGAATTCTGTAGGTGTGGCCTGCTTTCCGGGTCCACTGGTGGAACCTCTTCTAACTGGTTCGGTAGATTTGACGAACCGGTTCTACCGAATGGGTGCGAACTGGTAGGAACACACCTCTGAATTCAACTCAATAGTGATCTTTATATCTTTATTAAATGAATATTTTATCAAACACTAGCCAACTGTGGGTTACAGGTTTGTGGTTGAATTCTCATGTAATATTTAGCCGGGAGTTTTAGTCTTCATTTAACCAGCATGGTGCTAAATGATAATATAGTTTGTTTTGATGATAATTTTCTTTTGTTTTACTATGCATGAAAGCTGTATTATGTTTAACTTTATATGGTGATGAGTTACTAGAACGTTTCCAACAAATTACAATTAAAATATCCTTGGTTGGCTCAGTAAGGAGACTCAATTGACGAGAGACTTGTGGTGTGGTGTATAGACCTGGTATCAGCCCTGGAGCCATTTTCCCCTTTGGCACTTCAGGGCTGCCACAGCGGAAAAGGTCAAGCTGTGGGTGGAAGGGAGAAGGAGGAGATAACTGGAGGATAGTAGCCATAATAAAATTCTTTCCCCTGAGAACCAAGAGTTTTCCCACCAGGTGCAAGAAAGTGGAGTCTGAGGCTGAGTGACCTGGAGACTGTGACCTGATTGGACCAAGTGATGAATAGTTCGGTCAAGGGGAGGGAAACCTTTACTTTGAATTAGGGGGAAACCTGAGGGATGGCCAGAATCGGGTTTCCCCAGATGTGCCAATATGATGTGCCTAATGAATCTATTATTTGAGGAACTCGTTTGCCTTGGAGTTTTGATTCTGTTGAGCTTGTTACTTAGAATCCTGGCTTGTTTATTTTCTCATGAGAGGTCTTAATGTTAGACTCACTTTTGCAATATTTGCATTTTTACCTTAGTGCTTTTTCCTGTCCATTAAGGTTCTTGCCATCCATAACTTCCATTATGCCCTGGGCAATGACATCATTGTACATAAGGATCCACCCAAGAAGAGCAAGCAGGTGGGTACACTATTAAATTCTTCAGTGAAGCACATTCATTTGAAATGTAAATAGAAGTCGTAATAAAATTATGTTTCATTCGTGAATCTTTGAATTGGAATGCTCATTGTACTCTGAAATGAAATATGGATTAGATTCACTCAAAGATGAACTTAATCAGAAACCTGGATCAATAAAGTGCAGTTGTTCTAGTCTTCTGAAACAGACATGATGGCTTGTTCTCTAATCATAGCTGGTTTTCTCATGACTTTCTCAACTACCTGTTTTAGCATGACAGTGACTACAGCCAGCAAATCTCTGGGAGCATGATGTTAATTTAAGAAGACTTCAGTTCTGTGATCTATGATTTGCACCCAACCCTCTAAATTTTATTCCCAAAATTCAGGGTCAAACCCAGTGGTGGGATTCAGCCAGTTTGCACCTATTCGGGAGAACCAGTTATTAACTTTCTAGGAAGTTTTTTTAACTGTTGCCTTTTTATATATACCTTTCACCCTGGCTTGGCTGATAAGGAGTCGAGCTCTGTAGCTCAGTGGTTAACACATCTG